TTAAAAGTTCTTCATTTCATTCTGTTTTAAAAACTAATTTCCAAGGACCCAAACAACCTTGGGTACCTAAATTCTTTCATTGATCGCAGGTACTATGTGACTAGCAATATGATGAGAAATGGTATATCGATAGTGGTTGCTCACGTCACATGACTGGAAGAAAGGAAAATTTGAGAGATTTTCGAAGCTTGGAAAATGCAGGGGTTGTGAAGTTTGGCAATAATCACAAATTCCAAGTGAAAGGTTATGGCAAAGTCACGAACGGAAAGTTCAATGTTAATCGCGTTGCTTATGTAAAAGGTCTTCAACATAACTTGATAAGTGTTTCACAACTTGTTGTGGACACTAGCAATCATGTGGTATTTAACGAAGAAGGCAACATCATTTCAAATGTTCAAACTAACGAAGTGTTGCTTAAATCCAAAAGACATGGTGACATGTTTACTCTTGATATCAAACCAATCATCGGCAAACCCTCAGTGTGCTTACTTTCGAAAGCTTCCTCTGACATCAACTGGTTATGGCATCGACGTTTATCGCATTTAAACTTTCGAAGTTTGAATAAATTGGTTGTTGATGATCTTGTTCGTGGTTTACCTGTACTAAAATTTGACAATGATACATTGTGTGCAGCTTGTGACAAGGGAAACAGCACAGGAAAGGACATCCAATTGTGATAGATTCGAAAATTGTGGAACCGTTGGAACTTCTACACATTGACCTTTGTGGACCATCGACTGTTGAAACTCTGAACAAAAAGCGATACATTTTGGTTATTGTTGATGATTTTTCATGATTTACTTGGGTATATTTTCTCAGGTTAAATTCTGAGGTTGCTCAAACAATGATCGAGTTTATTAAGAAGATTAAGATGAGTCTGAAGAAAATGTTCGAAAGATCAAAAGTGATAATGGATCTGAGTTTAAGAACAAAGTGTTGGATTCGTACTTAACAGAAAAAGGAATTTCGCATAACTTCTCTTCGCCCTATACACCGCAGCAAAATGGTGTGGTTGAAAGACGAAATAGGTCACTTTGTGAAGCAGCGAGAACTATGTTGACATATGTGAATCTTCCTCAATACCTATGGGCTGAAGCAGTTTCGACAGCTTGTTTCACTCAAAATCGATCATTCATTCATCGTCGATTCAATATCACTCCGTATGAAATTATCAATAACTGAAAACCTAATGTCAAATTCTTTCATGTTTTTGGTTGCAGGTGTTTTATAATGAATCTTAAAGATAGCCTTTCAAAATTTCAAGCTAAAGCTGACGAAGGCATATTTTTGGGATATTCGCACAATTCGGTTGCATACAGAGTGTTAAATAAGCGCACAAGAAAAGTCGAAGAGACTTTCAATCTCACTTTCGATGATTATTATGTCAAACAAGTTGAAAAGCAATTTGAACAAAAACCAATTATTAATGAATCATCTGATGAATCTGAAGAATCAAATTCATCTGACTTTGATTATGATTTAATTTTTGGTATTCCTGACAGGGCTGTGGATGCTGAAGTTCATGCGAATGATAATCATCACTCTGAATCTTCGAAGCATAATGATGACTTGGAAATTCCTCAAAATATTGTAGATGTTAATTCAACAACAAATTCTCCCGGAGTTGGCGAAAGTATGCATAATAATCCAGTGGAAGGAGAGCACTTGGATTCGAATACTATGGTTGAGGGGGAGCATTCTTTCGAGGGGGAGAATGGGATAATGGATGATGTTGTTGAGGGGGAGCATCTAGTTGAGGGGGAGCATCAAAATGATAATCGCGTGTGAGGAGGAAAATGATACAATAAATTTTAATCAAAACGATGATTTTCATGATGTAAATGATAATGTTTCTGTTGTAGGATCTGAAAATGAAGAGATGTACGAAGATGCACCTTTGGAATTTGATCCTGCATATCTACTGTTGGAGAAATGGACAAAGACTCATCCGATAGATCAAGTCATTTGAAATCCTCAAGATGGAGTATTAACAAGAGCTCAGATTCGTGCGAAGAATGAGGTATTAAATACTCATCAAGAATTTTGCATGTTCAATGTTTTCATATCTAAAATTGAACCAAAGACAGTTAAGATGGCAATGGAACACTCATATTGGGTTGTTGCAATGCAATCTGAGCTGGCTGAATTCGAAAGAAACAAGGTTTGGAGATTAATTCCTAAACCTGAAAATGTTTCGATTGTCGGGTTAAAATGGATTTTCAAAAACAAAACCGACAAAGATGGAAATATTGTACGAAATAAAGCACGATTAGTTGTAAAAGAATATTCGCAACAAGAAGGTATTGATTATAAAGAAACCTTTGCCCCTGTTGCAAGAGTCGAGGGTGTTCGAATATTCTTAGCATATGCAGCTCATAAGGATTTAGTCTATCAAATGGATGTGAAATGCATCCTGATGACGTATATATTTTAGATAAAGCTATATATGGGTTAAAACAAGCACCAAGAGCATGGTATGCAACTCTTACCAGTTTCTTAAAACAGTCGAAATTTAAACAAGGATCAGTTGACCCCACATTATTTCGAAAGAAAGTTGGGAATCATCTGATGCTTGTTCAAATTTATGTCGATGATATTATTTTTGGCTCTACTGACCCTGCTTTATCTAATGAATTCGAAAATTTGATGAAAAGCCAATTCGAAATGAGCATGCCATGTAAAATCAATAATTTTCTTGGGTTAAGCATATGTCAAAACAGAGAAGGCATTTTCATCAATCAGGAAAAATATACAAGGAATTTGCTCGAAAATTTTGGATTGACAAATAGCACGAAGTTAAGAGTACCAATGGCTGTTGGCACAAGGCTAACACCTTCGTTAGAAATGCCCGCGGTTGATCTTACTTTATACAGGAGCATGATAGGTTCATTGCTTTATCTTACTGCAAGTAGACCTGATATCATGTTTTCTGTATGTAATTATGCTAGGTATCAAGAAAATCCACGAGAACCACATTTAACAGCAGTGAAGAATATCTTTCGTTATCTTAAGGGAACAATTTCGTTAGGATTGTGGTATCCTTCGAAAACAGGATTTTTCATTCAGGCATTTTCAGGTGCAGATCTATGAGGTTGTACCTTGGATCGAAAAAGTACAAGTGGTGGTTGTCAATTTTTGGATGGAAAGTTGGTTAGTGAAACCCAACTTTCTATCTTCGTAAGGAATTGACGGGGAACTATGTTCCAGTATTGACGAAACATTTGTTTCAGTATCATTTTTCGAAACTCCAAATCATATTCTTTTCTCATGAGTGATCTTGATCAAACTATCGAAGCCCACGATGTTTGTTACCCAACAGGATCCAGAACAAATATTTTTTCATGAATATGATTTCTGTATGAGTTTCATTTGCTTTCAAAGTTATTTTCAACATAATTCAAAGCATACTTGTCACTGACTACACTGGTCAAACAAGTAATTTCCGTTACAATTACTCACCTTATGTTTAGGTTGATATGTAACGAAATTATAAACCACCCGATAAGCCTAACAAAAGAAGCCATTCGATACTTCTCTATACGTATTCGATTGTAATTCACGGGAACATACACAAGCAGTTGATTATCTCTCTTGATAATTAATGAAGCAACCTTTGCCCGGGGTTTATCTGCTTTTGTGTCGAATTTTTTTTTGACATCACAGATCCAAATTTTCGTTAATTTGCTTCTTATCTTTTCTTTGGCACACTGCACACATGAAATCCTTGAGGTTCTAAGTAATACCAACTCAGGCTGATGATTTCGACAGTCTAGCAAATGACTTCGTCTCTAAACCCAAAGACGAAAGAGCTTAACATACACCCGAAGGTTGGTGACGGTTACTATTCTTTGAGGTGACTCGGACAGACTGTCTGATGAGACGTTTTGTATTCAGTCCTAGTTTCAAGGCAGTGTGACAGTTACTTTTTGACGCATGGCAACTTTATTGGCAGAATGGTGCGATTTTGAAGGTGCCACTTCAGATCTCAATTAATGCTTATCCCGCGTTCAATTTAAAATTCAGGGTTACATATAAAGAGTGTATTTACGGGTTCTTTGTCTCTTTACGCTCACAAAAGAAAAAAAAATACCCAAATTCTCTCTGTTATTCAACGCTTCAAAACCCTAATCATGGCTGGTGTTGATTCTGCTTCTCGAACAACCGAAGACATCACTTCTCAACCAATAATGAAGATTCAAAGCACCAATTATCAAGTGGAAGGGGATGTGTCTCTATATCCTGAAGAGTTGAAGATGTTAATCGTCACATTGAAGAGTTCTGTTCTTTCGAAGACGGTGTTCAACTCGTTTGGAGTTCCTCTCTCTTGGCTTTCACAGGCAGGATCCACTGCTACGTATAGCAAAGCAATGGATATCATCACTTTTCAACTGGTGAATGACAAGAAAATGCGTTTGTCTAAGAAGTTCTTTTGTCAGATTCTTGATATTCCCAATTCTCAACTTGTTACTAATCTCACTTATGCACAAGTTGTTCACATATTTAATGAGATGGGTCATCAACCCCCACTCACGAAGATAAGTGATTTGAAGAAGTCAGCTCTTCCAACTGTTTGGAATTTCTTGTTCGGAATTTTTCTTCGATGCTTGACTGGTCGAAGTGTTGGATTAGACAAAGGTCGCATGGAGGTTTATGCGATGGTGGCAGGATTGTACTATGATCTTTCAGTCGACTACTGTACACAACTGTGGAAGGAATTTCAAAAGAGTGTCGAAAACACGAATGTGGTTCAAGGCATTTCGTGTGCTAGGTATTGGAGTTTGATCCTTGGTTATTTTTATGAAAAAGAAGGAATTGAAGTACCTGCTGATGAAGAAAGAGCTGAGTTTCTGAAGTATCACTTCCCAAAGGAAGTTTCTGGTGATATGGAAGTGTTCACACACATTGTCAGGATTCCAGATGCAATGCAAAAGAGGGTTGAGCCAACAAATTCGGTGTTGGTTGAGTACTTGAAAAAATTCAATCCTGATGTTGCGACTGGAATGTTATTGTCGAAAGAAGAGGCTGGTCCTTCGAAGAAACCAAAACGTTCTAAGAAGGATGCAAAGGCTACACCTGAGAAGCCGGTGCACGAAACTAAGAAGTCTCCTGAGAAGCATGTGCACGAATCCAAGCTGTCACCAAAGAAGCCTGAAGTAAATGTTTCGACTGTTGTAATCAAGCCAGTGGAACCTGTTGATGATACTCTAGTTAAGGAGAAAATTCCTTCAAAATCTGGTGTTTTTCGAAGATTAAAGAAGAGGACTCGGGGTTCAAGAAAATCTTCAGATGGTTTGTTCAAATCTTCTCCTTCAAATGTTCGTAAACCACAACTTTCTCATCAAGGAGTAATTTTTCGTGAGGTTCCAGCTCCAGTTTCGCCTTTGTCAAAGAAACGTAGAGCTGAAGATGTGGCTAAACACATTTCAAAGAAGAAGAAAAGGCAACGAAAGTTGGTTATACAATAGGAGTCGTCCGAAGAAGAGATAGTTCCTGAAACACCAGAAACAATTATTTTTCAATCTCTATCTACTCCTAAGAAGACTACTGTCATAACACCCGAAGTTTTGTTAACTGAATCACATACTGAGGAGGTTCGAACTTCAGGTATTTTTACACACGTATCTAGTACGGGTGTAAATGTCAATATGGGTGAAGGAGAGTCTAACAAAGAAGTTGGTGCTACAACTCAAGGTATTCCTGCATCTTCGATAAAGGACACTTTCGTTTCATTTAACTCCTTTTATTGTTCCGAATACTACAAATTCACCTACCTTTGAAAACATTATCCATCAACCTTTTACAACTCTTTTTCCATCTCAATCCACTGATCCACCCAAAATCGATTCACTTGTTAAAGGTTCACCTGTTGTTGAAACTGATACTGACAACGAAGGTTTTGGAGGAATGTTTGAATATTTGGAGTTTGATGATTAACAAGACAACTTTCCTGATCATATGTTGATGACGATGAAACAATTCAAGATTCTAAACAAGAAATTGAATTCTATTCTTCAATCTCAAGCATATTTGGGGACTAGTTCGTCTGTGTCCAGTATGGAAGTTGACAGTTTGTTAAAAACCTTCGAAGCAAAGGTGGTGAGTAAAGTTTCTAGAATGGTTCGAGACTCGGAGACTAGACTCTTAGAGAAGGTTGATCACAATGATCAGAATGATGAGTTAAGAGTGAATTCTCTAACTTTAATGTTTAGAGGGGAGGTGAAAGAATTCAAGAATTTGGTGAAGGAACGACATGTGTTATTCGTTCAGGATGTAAAGAAAGTGAGGGAGGATGTGAATTCACAAATTCAGGAGCTTCGTCAGGATATGCAAAAGGAGATTGAAATCGTGCAAAGGGATTATGCTTCGATAAATCAAAAAGTTGATATTATTTGTGATGCTGTTACCAAATATGTCAAGTTGTAAGAAAATTTGAGTCCTCAACTTACTCAACTTTCTACAACGGAAAATCAAAGTTTTATGGAAGTGCTCAAGCTACTGAAGGAGCTGAAAGATTTAACTGTAAAATTAGTTTCATCTTCGTTGATTACTCCAGAATTTTTGTCTCAGAAGTTCATCCATTTCGAAGCCATTTTACACAAGCAATTGGCTCCTCTTTCTCAAATTTCGAGCCTTCTTCCAACGGATGCCCCACTTGTTTACACAGTGGTGCAAGGGGGAGAGAAGAAAGTTGGTGGTACGAAGGCTGGTGGTGAAGATTCGCATGCAGATGCAAAGGTTGTTGGAACGGTGTTTTCTTCGAAGATTCCAACAACAAAACCAATTATGTCAACAGCTGGGCCAGTTACTTCAACAATTGTTACTACGGTGCAATTTTCTCACGAAGCCGGTCTCTAAAGGAATTGTGATTGGGGAAGGTGGCAGCAACTCAAAGCCCAAGGAAGTTATTGATAATTCCTCAGTCAAAAACAAAGGAATAACAATTTTGATCGAAAAATTGAAGGAGGAAAAGAAAGCTGAAGCGGAGGCTGAGGTTGAAAAGTTACGAATTGCGCAAAGCATAATGCGACTTCGTGTGAACGGTCCACCTGGAATGAGCAAGGGTGATCCTTCAAAGCATTACAACTATGAAACGATTGAGTCGAAATTTGCATATAATCGTATGTATGCTTTTGAAAAGAAGCCGAAGCAGAGCTATGTTGTTCTCAACACAGACATGAATCAACTGGATTTTCCTGTTAATGAAATAATGTTTATTATGGCTCAGTATAAAATTGCTGAGAAGTTTGACAATGATGATGAGTACACATACATGAAAATCAGATTTCATGCTGTACTTGGAAAGCTTCCAGAGGAAATTTGGTCACTCGTGAAGATAAAGAAGGTGATAAGTATAAAGAGGGATGTGTTATTCGAAAATATGATGCAGAATCTTCATTTCTTTGTTTCGAGGGCAAATGGTCAAGTTTGTGAATTTTCAGTGGCATATTTTCCTTTGATGAACTTGTATGATCAGATACAAGTTGCATTGTTGTTAAAGGATAAAGATGTGACAACCCGAAACTTTTTCGTTTCCATTATGCGAATTCCGTTAATAAAATTTGAATTTTATTAATCTTCCGTCGAACTTTTGATTTAGAAAATCATCTGGTTTTGTATAACTAAATTTATATACGCGAGTCGAAACCAAAACCGCACGAAACTCGAATTATTCTCGAAAAACAACATGTTCACGGCCTGACTGGAGTTCACGGCCGTAAACTCGTTTGCGGTCAGCGTCGGGTGGACCCCACCCACCGACCACAAAACCCCTATAAATATGAGACCTCCACCCTTATTTGAACACCTTTGAACGGAAACCCTCTCTTTCTCTCTCTAAAACTTTTGACCGTAAACACCTAGAAGGCTTTCAATCTTCAAGAAAACACCGAGAAACACCGCTTAGAGTTATTTCGGGGCATCTGGAACACATTTCTCTTCGAAATCAGCACCCTTGTTCTTGAGTTTACGGCCCATCTTCAAAGATCGTAAACCCGTTTACGGCCTATCTTCAAAGACCGTAAACCCGTTTACGGCTCTTCTTCAAAGACCGTAAACCCAGTTCACGGCCGTAAACCACTCTTCACGGTCGCAAACTCTCCCTAAGTGGTGGAAGCTCGTTTTCTCGATTCAAGCAGGTTCCGGTAACATTCCTTAACCGAAAGTAAGTGTTTTTATAACACTTTATCTAACGAAATCGCTAATTTAGATACATATACATATTTAATGATATTAGGATTCCGTTCAGTGCCACGTACAACAACCCGAGGATCTTCGTTTCCAGCCGACATTTTCACACAACAACAGTGAGTTCATACCCCTACGTTTTTCCGAGTTTTTCATGTTTCAGGGGGGAATACAAGCAAAAGCATAAGGAGACTTGTGCTGAAAATATATTATTTTGTTTAAGATAATTATATTTTCAGTATGCTTTTAACATGGAAAACATTTTTACCAAACGATTAAGAAATCAACTCGTAGAAACAGTTTTCAAAACTAGGGTAACGAACTCGTGAATCATGTAGTAAAATGTATTATTTTATAAAGGATTCATGGAAATCATAAAAAGGATTTTCAGTATTATTACTTGTAAATTTGTTAGTCTAAGTTGGAGACACGTCGTTGGTAACACTCCCACAGAATCAGAGTGTAGGACTAGCACTTGTGACCAGAATCTCTTGTAGGGAGAGCGTGACTGTTGTGTATAGATCTATACGGGACTAACAATCCCGCACCCCGCTGCTAGCTACAGTTGGACCGGCAGGTCTACGGGTGACAAAGTCATTGAGGATACCGGCCCCGTTACGTTCCTTATCCAGTCAGTTATGGTCATGAAACTCAAAACCTAGATAACAGGAATTTACTTTTGTAATAATGAATCAAGTGAACTAACCTCAAAGTAATAACCGATAGATTACTGGAGGGTATTAATAATACCTTCAGGACTTAGTTCATCATAGTTTTCTTTTATTTAGTTTTATTTATATAATAAGGCTAATATACCTCTCTGGGTGTAACCAGGGTTTTTTAAAGAAAACTGCTTTTATCGAAATAAGTATGGTAGATACTTGTACACCTCAGTTTAGAACGGATAACCAACCATCAACTTTTGGGGAAAATATAGGATTTTCCCAGGATAACTCGGCTTTTCATAAACGGATTGTGTAACAATTAACCAACAGATATTCATGTTCATTCCACGACCCATGGGATTGTACATATCTTGTATGAATCTGGAAGTCATGGAACGAAATGGCTTTTCAAACACGCTTTTCATAAGAAAATGTAGGATTTTCTTGAGGAACACTTTTCAGAAGAATCAAAGAACATTTTCCACCAAAACTAAATGCTTATGAACTCACCAGCTTTATGCTGATATTCTTTCAAACTACTTGTATTCTTAGGGAATTAGTAGACAGGTACTTCCTGGTGTTCGATGAAGTCGAAGCGTTAGAGTCGCGTCTTTCTAGTTTACTGTTGATATGAGCAAAACTATGTAGTAAACAATGTAAACCTTTTTCACATATGTATTAAATTTCTGGTTGTGTTTACTATACTTGCTATGATACAATTGTTGTGATACTACGTATGACGTCCTCCGCCCCAGAACGTTTTCGCCGTTCCGGTTTTGGGGTGTGACAGATTGGTATCAGAGCCATTGTTTATAGTGAACTAAGTATACCGAACCTTACATGGTATACGAGTATAAACATTAAGGGGCCTAAGTGCTCTAAACTAAAAGTATACTTTCAAAATATAAGTATTTTATAAAAAGTATACAAGTATACCTAAGTACCTGAATCAGAGTCATAAATAGAACAAAACAAAAGTATTTGGATGTTGGGACGCTGTGGTTAAGCCTGGGCAGTTGTGTAATCATGCCTAGGGTCAATATAGCCTGATCAACTATATTCAGTCGAGACATGACCAACATGTGCTTGGGAGTGATTGTGGTGTTACAACAAGCCTAAAACTTACCAATAACAAAAACATTCAACATAAAATACTATAGGAGTATTTTAGTTAGAGTCAAATTTCTTATATAGATTCATTCCAAGTGTTGCTACCTTTTCTTTCCTAAGTGGTAATTTACTTGTGTTAGTAATCTTTTCTTTGTTTATCGCTTGGTAGAACACTTTTATTATCAGGATGAGATATATCTTGTTTCATATATCTTGAGGACTTACCATCCTCTTCTTCCTGGTTGTTTCTAGAGCAAAATGCCTCCCCGAAGAAGACCCATCAGAAGAAACGGCGACACCCCACCACCACCACCACCACCTCAGTTCGACCCCGTCATGTTCCAGGCAGCAGTTACAGCCGCTGTGACTGCAGCAATGGCACAAGTCAACTCCGGTGGGGTGGGAGGTGGAAGTGACCCTCAAAGACAAGACGAAAGTCAGGGAAAAAAAAGGAATGTTCCTACAAGGACTTCATGACCGCAAAACCCAAGTCCTTCGACGGGAAC